TATACATGAATGTATCCAATTCATATTATGTATACATGTCCTCCCTGTTTTCTCCTGAATCTGGACCCAGAGTTTTAAACAGATGATTTAAACAGGTGTAGAATCTTCAGGAATCATTATGGAATGAAAAGTAAAAGTCATCTTTGTGACTGTGTCATTATTATCCCGAATTTCTATCTCGATATAATGGCAACTGATCCCTATCCCCATTCTTGCTTCCAAAACCATCGTATATTTTTATCTCTTTGTAGGGCAACATACTTAAAAGTTTTTATTTCTTCACTATTGTGCTCAAGGGCGAACTGGACACAGGTACACCGGGCTGCAAGAGCATACTTGATCTCCACTTTGATGCCCTCCTCTGGTCAGTGGCCCTCATCCTCCATTCACCATGGAGGTGTCTGGGGACATGTCATCTCAAGGGCAGACCCCCATATACATTCTGGCTGAAATGGGGGCAAAGAGGGGCTCACAGTTGGCATCGACCACCTGGGTTGTGAGTGGTGCTGCTTTGTGGTGGTTATCACTATCTAAGGGTGTCAGGACTACACAATGACTAGACTGCTTTTCCAGGTCTAGTGGCTTCTCTAACATAAGTTCACCATACTTGTTTTCCACCATGGGTCTCTTTTACTTCAAAGACAAATACAGAATTGCTGCTGTGTTGTAATTTTGTAAATGAATTAACTTCTAACATCAAAATCTTCTGCAGGTTTTATTGCAAATCTTGTTCCAGGCTGGATCAACTCAGATATTTGATTCGGTAACACTCCTGCTGAACTGGGAGGTATAAATGTAAGAGGCAAACTATTGCATGTGGCACATCTTTTCTATAGTGTGTGGCACATTTTCTCTGGGTTCAACCTGTTACTTGCAAGTAGGCCTCTACTTTCTTAACTCACAGTGAAGTGTTCTTTTACCACCTCAGGTAAGACCTGGACACTTAGCTGGAATCTTTGACAAGGTCTGGTTAGGAAAGTCCCCCCCAGCAGGAGTCTGATGGAGCTCCTCATTCATCATTGTTTCTACATTGACTGGTGGTGATGCTCTGAATCCCTACTCTAGAACTGCAGCCTGAAGAAATAAGATGTTGAGGCTTCTGAAGAGTTGAGAGCAAAAATGTTTCTTACTGGACTTTGCAAGTTGAAAGTCAGCAGTACTGTCTTATCCATGCAATTAAGTATTCCTGGAAATTTATATCCTCAGTGACTCCACCACATAAAGTCAAAGCAGTGACTTCTTTTTTATTTCTTCCTGATGTTTAAAAGTATTTTCACACTGAGTCTCTTTACTTTGGGGGGAGGGAGTCTTTGCTTTTTTCATATAACAGTGTGGGAATAAACTGAACCTGCAGCTATACATGTATAGCAAGCTTCTAAGACATTTCACAACATAGAAATCTTATGGATTGAGGTACCTATTTTAAAAATTTGACAAGTCTCCAGTTCATTGGCTTTGCATAGATATGTCAGAGAGTTGGCTTTTCTCAGGAGTTTGATATAGAGTGAGAGTCCATGTAAAATAATTGGTTTTACACTATGATTTCTTCTTGAAAACCTGAGAAACCACTTTCCAATCATTGAATCCAAGTCTTTTATTGAATATATAGGAGGTTTGCAAACTAATGTGTGAAAAGCTTCAGAAACTTAAAAGATGAACTAAGAAATTATACTTGTTCTCAATGATCTTATACATAGATATTTTTATGACCTCTCAGAGTAATTATGGAAGTGCTGATTTCTTTTGCATATATAAAATTATTTTATTTGACTGTGGTTCATCTGATGACAATTTCTTCACATTTTCCTAAATCAAAACTCTTTTCATTTGGTATCTAGAAAACTTATCTCTGTCAAAGATTGTTCAGTTGCCTTTGCCATAGGCTGCCTTTTCCTATCAATATTTAAAAATGTGTCTAAAATGATCTGCTTTGTTATTGATAATTTTTCCTAAAAATGAACTCTAAATATGACATTTTCCAGAAAGTACATCTGTCACTTCTAGTATATACACATTAATTTGGTCAACAGCTCTTTACAACCATGTGTTTGCTTTAAAATTCTTAAAGGCTTTCTTGAGGTATATTTGATATACAAACTTAACATATTTAATATGGAGATGTTTACTTCCTTGAACTTATATTTTCATGAGGAAACACCAGTTTTTCACCAGAACTATCCAATTCATATCACAGCTATTCTATATGTAACTAAGAAAACTGGGATACAATTCCCTCATTTATTATTAGCCTTCTAATTCAGTTTAAAATAATCTCTGGGTTATAGTCTCAGCAAGTTGTACAGTTTCAGCAAGGACCCTAGACTGTTGCTGCTGTAAGGAGTATAATGTATCTTCTAGATTGGGAATGAGGGATACATGTGATAGATTACATTCCAGTTTTAGGTGCTATAAAATATGGTGCTTCAATTTTTAAGTTATAGTTTAACACTCTGGTTGACCTCTTAGATTAAGTGACTGCATACCTACTTCCCCCAATACACATAGGAATATAGAGAAGTCTTTGACATAATTTCATTACTGGAACCCGAAGAAATACAAACATCCAAAACTATTGCCCAGCACTCTAAAAAAACAATCAATAAAAGTCACTATTCGTCCTAAATTATCAGCAAATATATCAGAGCTAAGATTGATATTTTGTGCAGTCATTAACTTAAACTCATTGTGTCCAAAACCAAAACTACATACAGCTTTCAGGTTTTGATGGTCCATTTTCCAGTATGATGATCCTATCATTCCTACTGGAGTGAATTTATCCTTTAAATAGTAAGTGTTATTGGCCCCTGGCTTAGGTTACAGTATGGTTCGTACAAAAAAACCAAACAAACCAAAAACCAACTCTCATAAAATTGTTGCATTCAATAAAACAGTCTTTCTTGGGGCCTCCCTGGTGGTACAAGGGGTTAATACGCAGCACTATGCAACTGCCGCAGCCACTGAAGCACTAGTTCAATCCCCAGCCAGGGAGGTGACCCACATGGCACAGCAGACCTCTCCTGTCACGCCCGTTGCTCCCCTCAACAGTGTATTTTAGTCGATCTGCTTGTTCTGTTCCCCACTCTGTTTCTGGTGAATCCTCTCACCACCCCCCTCCAGACCTCTGGCCTATATACCCCAGTTCTTGTATGCATAAAATAAATAAATCTTTAAAAAAAAACAAACAGTCTTTCTCCCATCTCATATAACTCCAAACAGTGCCTTCTCAATCAAGAATATGCCTAGGTACTTAAGATTTTTAATTAGCTTTCATAAATTATTTAGGACAATTTTACTTATACCCACAGGTCATTTTCATGGTATCACCTGGAGAAGCAGACAAATCATTATTTTCCTAACAGAATGTCCAGTGTGCTTACATTGAAGACATAATTCCTTTTTCAATCAACAAGGTAAAATACTACTACTGTTGGGGCCTCCCTGGTGACGCAAGAGTTGTTAAACACAGCACTGTGAAGCTATTTGCAGCCTCTGCAGCATGAGTTCAATCCCCCGGCCAGCCAGGGAGCAGCCCACATGGCACAGCAGACCTCTCTTGTCTTGCCCACTGCTCCCCTCAGCAGTGTATTTCAGTCAGTCTGCCTGTTCTGTTCCCCACTCTGTCTCTGGTGAATCCTCTCACCTTCCACACCTCTGGCCTATACCCCAGTTCTTGTATGCATAAATAAATAAATCTTTAAAAATAAATAAATAAAATAAAATAGTAGTTAATTAAGTACATAATATGAACCAGATGGTTTATACATTATCACTAGTCCTCACCACAATGTGTCAAGTTATATATTATTCATATTTTGCTGAAGCCAAAAGAGAGTAAATAACTTGTGAAAGATCACACAGGGAGGAGTTACCTCATTACAAAGCTGCTATTTAATTTAAATCATACTACATCTAATCCGATAATTTCCAGAGCACATATATTTGTTCATTCAACAACTATTAAATGAAGCCTATTTAGCTCAAACTGGAAGCATAGTTGAGGTCACTGATGTTTGAAATACAGCTTAACACTCATGACTATTCATTTCCCTATGATTTGCCCCTAAACTGGGTTAAGTGAACAGAAATCAGCAAAACTAGACTATATTAAGTTAGTTTCCCAAATAATTTCTAGCATGTTTTATTTCTTTCATTTTGAGTTGACCACAGTATGAGAACTGGCCATGTGATAAATAATTTATAAAACAACAGGAGTTACATTATCCTCTGTTCCCTTCAACATTATTTAGAAGGCTCTACTTACTCAATTCTATTTGGAACTTAATATCAATACAAAGTTTGCATTTTTTGCACATAAACTCAAAACTTTCTAAAGAAATTAGAGAAATAAACCACACTTCTTTTATTTGCCCTGGTTGTCAGGACACATAAGGCGATATGCTAATCTCAGTAGTAGTAACTTTCTCATTTTGGGGGCCTTTGATTATTGTTCATTCCCTAAAGGCTTTCAGCCCTGTTTTTAATTATTCTGAGGGTAGATAGGCAGCAGATAAGGAAAACATGTGATTTTATATCCTGTTACAGAATTCACCAAAAGAAACCAGGCATCTCACAGGTTTTAACCACACTTTCCCAAGAATGACATACTTTAGCACTCAGTTTCCCTTCAACATTCTACAATAAGCAAAAGAACCCCAGGAAACAGAGTCTGTGCACTTTCAAAGAGTTTTCCATGTGTTAAAGTCATAGAAAATGTAACAAAAGAAAGACTAGTGCAAATTTATCAGTGTCAAAAATGCACACAAAATGTAATTCAGAAACTAAATGGTTCACAAAGCCCTCATTAACACCATTTCAGTAGATAAAATGGACAAGAGAAGTATTTAACCTGGAATTAAATACATTCCCACATTATATTCCCAAAATCTATAGGGGGTGAAAAATAACAATCTCTTCAGTTTTTCTTTTGACAGCACACTGTTTGCATATTTCAGTGAGAGATTCTTAAGAACATAATAAATAAACTCACCATATTTGGAAGTTCATGAATGATTGATTTGAGACTATGAAATGACTTAGGACCCTGAAAAGTGTAAATGTATACATCCCTAATGAGCAGAAAGAATTACTGTACTTTATGAATTTGTTGGTAATTTCATGTGTAGTTAGAAGCTGCTCTATTTATAACAATTATTAAAACTTTCATTTATACTTTTTATTGAATTATCCCCTCTAGAAGGATTTGTATTCTTAACATGTAATTAGAATCAGATGTTCTACATAAAGCTTTTCATCCAATGTGGGGGCGAGAAGACCGATTAAAAGCAGGAAACAGTTTATAGCTGGTATATTAAATTATAAAAATTGCAGCGCATTAACAGTACTTTATAAAGTGAATATGATTTTTTATATGTAACATATGCAAATATATTTGAAAATGTTATAAATAAGGCTTGAGTGAAGGTAGTCATTTAAATTTTCTGGTGTCTGCTTTATAAATTCCGGTATGTGCTAATTATATATAGTAAGAGATTCTTTGCTCAAAGCTCATAGAAAAATATTGGATATAGACTCACCTGCATTAATACATGATTCTCTTTAGGAAAAATGGAGTCACCTGACAGCAAAAGAGGCTCGCTTTTCTCACAGCTCTCCTGGCTGATGAGCGTGTCCGCATAGTTGGGCTGCGGGAAGATAAGATGACTCTTCCTCGAGTCCGCGGTGAGGGAGACCTCGTGTGAATAGGTCTGCAGGAAAGCCCGCACCCCATCCAGGCCCACAAAGTTAGACACAGGCACACCAGCCAACTTGCTTCCTGAAGTGCGGAGCACACGTGACCTGTGCCAGCGCCTGAGTCTGAGCGCCATCAGCACGAGGACAAAGGCCAAGAAGATGCAGGAGATGGCAGCCACCGCCACTACCAGGTAGAGAGTGAGGCCAACATCATCGGGTTCGGTGGGAAACTCAAGGCTGCTTAGGCCAGCCAGGACGTCTGGGATGCTGTCGGCCACGAACACAGTGAGCGTGACTGTGGCCGAGAGCGGGGGCTGGCCGTGGTCCTGGACCACCACCACCAGGCTCTGCTTGAGCGCATCTCTGTCCAGCAGGGCCCGCGCGGTGCGCACCTCGCCCGTGTGCAGCCCCACTGAGAAGAGCCCTGGCTCGCTGGCCTTGAGCAGGCGGTAGGACAGCCAGGCGTTCTGGCCTGAGTCTCTGTCCACCGCCACCACCTTGGTCACCAGGCAGCCAGGCTCTGCAGAGCGGGGTGCCAGCTCCACACCAGTGGAGCCATCTGTGGGGAGACTGGGATACAGGATCTCTGGGGCATTGTCATTCTGGTCCAGCACAAATATGCTCAGGGACACATTGCTGCTGAGGGGCGGGTCCCCACTGTCATATGCCATTACTTGTAGCTGCAAATCTCAGAACTTCTCATAGTCGAAGGAGCACAGTGCATATAGGACTCCTGTGTCTGAGTTGATGGAGACATAGGAGGACAGAGGTACTCCCTGGAGGGTATCCTCAACCAGGGAGTAAGTGACCTGGGCGTTCTCTCCATAGTCAGGGTCATTGGCAGTCAAAGAGACTATGGAGGCCCCTCTGGGGTTGTTTTCTGTGATACAGGAAGAGTAGGAAGCATGAGAGAAGGCAGGCGGATTGTCATTGGTGTCTGCCACATTCAATGAGATAAGAGTTTCTGTAGACAGAGGAGGACTTCCTCTATCAGTAGCAGTGACAGTGAGGTTGTAGCTAGGAACAAGTTCCCGGTCTAGGAGTGTGTCTGTCACTAAACTATAGTAATTTCCATAAGACTTTTCTAATTTAAAGGGCAGATTCCCTTGGATGAAACAGATAACTTGTCCATTTTCCCCAGAATCTTGATCATTTACATTTAAGAGGGCAATCAGTGTTCCTCTAGGAGAGTTTTCCAGAATGGAGCTGGACAGAGAGGTGACAACTACCTCAGGGGTATTGTCATTCACGTCCAAAACTGTGATCAGGACTTTTGCTCGTGCAGAATATCCTGCATTATCCACTGCTTGCACTTCCATCTCATAGAATCCCGATTCCTCGTGGTTTAGCTCTCCTATTGTTGAAATTGTCCCTAATTTACAGTCTAGCTGGAAAACTTGGGCCGCCTTGTTGTCCACATACCGGAAGGAATACATCACTTCCGCATTGGCTCCTTCGTCAGGGTCAGTGGCCTTTACCACAAGCAGCTTTGTGCCAACGGCCACATCCTCCGGAACGCTCACTCTGTACTCGGATTGAGCAAACGCTGGTGCATTGTCGTTCACATCAACGACCATGACGCGGATGCTTGCGGTACCAGTGAGGACTGGGTCGCCGCCATCCGAGGCCGTGAGAACCAGGTGGTGAACGGCCTTTTCCTCGCGGTCCAAGGGGCGTTCCAGCACCAATTCCGGGTACTTATTCCTATCCGCTCCGCTTTGCACGTCCAAGGAGAAGAGGGTATTGCTACTGAGTTCGTAGCTCTGCAGAGAGTTCTTCCCTGAATCCGGATCCCAAGCGTGGGGAAGGGGGAACCGCATCCCAGTGGCTGCGTTTTCACTCACTTTTATTTCTAATTCGCCTTCCCGGAAATAAGGGGCATTATCATTAATGTCCCTCACTTCTACCACCACTCCATATATTTTCACTTTATCCTCCATCAGAATCTCCAGAATTAATTGACATTTGATAGCCCCCATACAGAGCTCCTCCCGGTCTATCCTGGCTGCGGAGATCAAGCTGCCGCTTCGCGGGTTCAGAGCGAAAAGCTGCGTCCTACCTCTGGAGACGATGCGGACTCCGCGCTCCGCCAGTTCCTGGGGCTCCAGCCCCAGATCCTTGGCGATGTTGCCCACCCTAGAGCCTTTCTCCAGCTCTTCAGGAATTGAATAGTGGATTTGGGTGCATCCAGTCTCCCACAGAATCCCCAGAAATCCCAGCAGGACCAGCCCTTTGCAGTACTGGTGCGGTAGCGCAGGAGTCATTGTGATTTTCCTCAGGGATTATTTCCAGTTCTTCCCTTGACCACCAAAGTCAGGATCAGCTCTTCGGCCTGGAATCAGACAGATGGGGCGCGGGAACTTCTCTGCTCGTTTTCCTCTCAGTCCCGGAGATAGTTAGCTTCTTTTTATGTGCGCTTTGTGCTTCAGGCGCGTGCACCTCGAGCCGGACCTCGCCGCTTTCTCTCCCTGATTGGTGAACAGCGGCGCTCAGAGTCTTAACCAATAACTGCATAATCTTGAACTCCGGGAACGATTTTTGGTTTTTATACTTTAAATAGCTCCACCTACCGTTTTTTCAAATAGAGATAGACGTGGTGCTGACTGTAATTACAGTATTTGGTTTAATACAAACTTTAGTGCCCTTTTAAAATTTTCCCTAAATTTTTTCATACAGAGACACCTTCTTGAGATTATCCATAGCTGTAGTTGTATTCTGACTTTTCCAAAGAGTTTTTAAATGATTTTGAAGTTTCTATACATAGTAGTTTTAACCTTAAGATTTGAGTACACCTGCTTTGTCACCTACCCCGCTCCCCAACATATCTCTTACAGGACACCTCCCTAGAAATTTCCCGTTTTGAGAAATCATATAATAGAATGATTTCACTTAGCTATAACTTGGAGCAACTTTTTTAAAAAAGATTCTTAAAATTGCCTGAATGGAAGAACTACTCTAACAACTGGTTGACACTTAACATTTCTAAATCAAAATTTTACAATACTATGTTAATCTAGACATAAGAAACATTGTACTCATTATCGGAATCACACCTGGTAGGAAGTAAAGTGAAAGACACATTGACATTTTTAGAACAAAATGGAGACATTCCAACTTGCATTTACCAGAAATAAGGATAGTACTCCACAACTCTACCAATACATTTTGAAAGAATCTTTAGGAACATTAGTAATCCAAAGAATATTATAAACTTATCTTTTTCTAGGTAACAAGCCTACTTTCAATTACTGAGAACTATTTATCAACTTGGAAGTCTATCAATTCAAATGAAAAAATTCTTGGTCTTGTACTTTCATGAGTATAAGTAGTTCGATTCTGAGGATAAACATGTTTGTTAGGCACACCATAAAATCCTATCTTTAAAGTAGGAAGAAAATATCTATGTACCTCCACAAAAAGATCAGACATAAACCTGACCCAATATGTGGCCTTCAAAGAATCCCTAGCCAATTGTCCTTGAATATTATCAGTCATTAAATATCCTTTCAAAAAAATCTTTTCTTATGCATTTTCTTCTATTTTGTAGTTAATAGTGTAAAGAAAAAGCATTACATACTCAAGATATTGTTTTGAGAAAGTGAAACATGCCCAGTAAGAAAGCATTTACACTTCAAATTATTTGAATGGCAACAGGAATGTAATACTCACTTCACACAGTACAGGAGATTGTGTATGTACACACACACACACACACACACTCTCTCTCTCTCTCTCTCTCTCTCACTATATCTCTGGGGAAACTGTCAAAATATTTCAAAATACTTGAGAGCTAATAATGAAGGTACTAGCCCAATACATAAAAAGAAAATATTGAGAGTGGGCAAACTTGAAATGAGAGTACGTAGATATAATCTATATAAAAATGTCCTGCCAGAATGTTGGTTTGAAAATTAAACCAAATCCATTTGCAAATGAAACGTATTCATTGAAACTCACATAAGTAGAAGCAACAGAGTTAGTTTAACTTGCTATTCTCTTCAATGACACATACATACAATAAACATGTTATAAAGAATTAGGCCATTATTAACTTTGAAAAAGACAAAATGAGACTATACTTCCGTTGTGAATTAAGAGCACACTCACTACTTTGAAAATCCAAACTCAGTAAGAAAACTATATTTTATGTCACATAACTACCCCTAATTCAGCACTCCCCTTGAAGAAAGGAACATTAGCTTTCCGGGAGACTTTAATATGCTAAGGCAACTTATTTGGAAATGTGACATGTTTTCATATAAATATGGAAAATTGGGGAGATGATGAAAAGGAGCCTACACATAAATGAAACTTACCTCCATTAGAGTCTCAGGATGGGAAGTCGACTCGCTGGCATTACAAAGTGGAAATAAGGCCCCAGATGAATCACCACAAAGTATATCCTGTCCTGAACTCAACTGCTCACTACATTTTAGAAAATTAAACTCTGTCTTTCCAGTGTGGGCAACGCACAAATTGTAGGAATAAGGCAAAGTCCCTTCCATGTAGTTGGGGGGAACCACTGATGGTCCAGACTTGACACAGAGACCAGGCCTAAAGCAGCCCCAGGCAGAGGGGCTGGAGGAGTGTCGCAGGCGCAGGGCAATGGCCAGAATCACCGCCAGGAGGAAGAGCACAGAGATCAAGGCCAAGGCCAGCACCAAGTAAAACTGCAGCTCAGCCTGGGGGTCAGAGGGCTCAGGTTGGTCACTGAGGTCTGGCAGGGCCTCCTGCAGGCTGTCAGCGAAGACCAGGTGCAGCGTGGCAGTGGCCAAGAGCGCAGGCTGGCCCCCGTCGCGCACGGCCACCAGCAGGCGCTGTCTGGCCGCGTCCCTGTCGCCCAGCGCCCGCGCGGTGCGCACCTCGCCCGTCCGCAGCCCCAGGCTGAAGAGGCCCGGCTCGCTGGCCTGCAGCACGTGGTAGGACAGCCAGGCGTTGTGTCCAGAGTCAGCGTCCACCGCCACCACCTTGGTGACCAGGTAGCCGGGCTGCGCGGCGCGCGGCACCGTGTCGAAGAGCGCAGAGCCGTCGGGCCCCAGCGCGGGGTACAGCACCCTGGGCGCGTTGTCGTTGCGGTCGCCCACCAGCACGCGCAGGCTCGCGTTGGCGCTCAGCGGGGGCGCGCCCTGGTCGCGCGCCTGCACAGTCAGCTCGAAGGTGCGCAGCTGCTCGTGGTCGAAGGCGCGCTGCGCGAACACCACCCCGCTCTGCGCGTTCACGGACACGTAGGACGACAGCGCCTGGGGGCCCAGGTCGCTGCCCACGATGGAGTAGGACACGCGGCCGTTGGGTCCCAGATCCGGATCCAAGGCACTGACCTGGGCTATAGAGGTACCTGGAGGGTTGTTTTCTGGCACTTGGACCAGATAGGATGGCTGTCGGAAAACCGGTGCGTTGTCATTGACGTCCCCGATGTGTAGAGTGACGCTTCTGCTGGAGGACAGGGGAGGCTTGCCCCTGTCAGTGGCTATTATGGTGACATTGTACTCCGGGATCTGCTCCCGGTCCAGGACCCCATCTGTTACAAGCTTGTAGTAATTATTTGCAGAGGATTCAATTCTAAAAGGAACTTTTTCTTTTATGAGACATGTAACCTCCCCATTTTCTCCGGAATCTTTATCATGTGTTTTGAATAGAGCAATTACTGTTTTGGCTCCTGTGTCCTCCCTTATGGAACTTGATACTGAAGTGAAAACCACCTCTGGGGCATTGTCATTTTCATCTAAGATCTCCACTGTAATTTTACATTCAGTGGCCATGCCACCGCCATCCTTGGCCTCTATGCTTATTGTATAGCTGCTACGGATTTCAAAGTCCATAGGGCCCTTGGATTTAATTTCTCCACTTTGATGGTCTAGCACAAACATATTTCCGATATCACGAAGTGTTTTGAAGGAGTAGGTGATCTCTGCATTGATACCCTCATCCTGGTCAGTTGCTGTCACCTTTAATATGAAAGTGCCAGGGGGCACATTCTCCCAAATGCTAACTTTGTACATATCCTGACTGAACACTGGGGCATTATCATTGGCATCAGTGACCTCGATCCTGATTTGAGTAGTGCCAGTTAGGACAGGGTCGCCCCCATCCAATGCTGTCAGAACCAAGAAATAGGAGCTCTGTTGTTCCCGGTCCAGGGGCTTCTCCAACACCAATTCTGGGGCATTCTTGCCTTCAGTGTTATCCATCATCAGAGAGAAATGCTCATTGTAGCTGAGGTGGTAACTCTGGAGAGAGTTAGGCCCTACATCTGCATCTACAGCTGATTCCAGTCCAAATTTAGTTCCTGGAATTGCAAGTTCATTGACTTGTAAAACAATGCTGTTCTGAGGAAAGTGAGGTGGATTGTCATTTATATCTTCTATCCTCACACTTATATGAAAAACATTTAGAGGATTTTCAGCTACCACCTCTAAGGGCACCACACACAGAGGGTTTTGTTGACAGAGCGTCTCCCTGTCTATTCTGTCACTCACCAGTAAGTCCCCATTCTCTGTGTTCACCTTAAAGTATCGTTTCTCTGCACCAATTCTGAGGTTGCGGGCCAATAAATCCTGCACACGCAGCCCCAAGTCCTCAGCGAGGTTCCCCACCACGGAGCCCATGGCCATTTCTTCGGGAATAGAGTAAGCAATCTGCTCAGAGAGCGCCCCACACAACAAAGAGAGCAGGAAGGAAAAGAGTACTTGCCGCCGCCGGGTACTGCTCCTCTGCTTCGCCCTATTTCCCATCCTTCTCTGTGTTGAAGCGGCTTCGGACTTAGAGAAAAGATACTTTACGAATTGCGTTAAAATATTTACTTCCACTGTGTAGAAAACTCAGCATTCTCCTTTGAAGGCGTCCCCATCCATACTCCAGAATCAGGCTTGCGGAAGGGAAAGTCGGAGACCGGCTCCTTGCCGGACAGTGCCCACCATCCCCCGTAGAACCCTGCTCAGCTCTTGTAGCGCATTGGCCAACAGCGGCGCTCCGAGTCTGTTTGGAAAACTGCAGTCAGCGGTTTCGCACATAATAGGATTCCATATTCCAACAGTTATGTTGAACTGATGTAGAGGGAAGGAGATGGTTTATAAGTTTGGGATGTGTCTATTTTCCAGTGTTTATTACCAAAGAAGGTTGTTTAGATATGGGATCTTATGGAAGAGCCATTAACCCAATAATAATAAAAATTTGTCTTTTTCAAGTGAGAGGAAATGTATTGGAAGAACAAGACAAAGTCTTCTCTGCAGACTTAGAGCAAAAACCACGTGGAAAAACAGCTTCACCAAAGGTAGGGGGGAATTTTGACAGCTATGAAATGACACCCAGTATTATCTTCATTCTGATGTGCAGATAATTTTCCTCCTTTTATCAGAGGGAATTGGAGGATAGCGCCAAGCTACATAGGGTATATTCAGGATAATGCCATAAAGTCTTCCTTGTTATTTATAAAAAAGATTATGAAAAGGATTATTGAGTGTTTTACATTTTCATCACAGATTATAAAAGCATACCCTCATAAGTTACCATATGAATTTAATGACATGAAATGTTTTATTTTTATACTTTCATTTAACTAGACCATATGTGGTACCTTAAGAGAACTTTATCACTACCTCTGGATCAAAATAATCTTAATTTTAAGTTTCAAGACCAACCTTTAATTTTTATTCTCTGAGTGGCGGTTACCAGCTCTAACTAGTTCAGACTATGTTACAAAAATTTATGGAACAGTCTCCCTCTCCCACCAAATATGTTTATATCCTTTTATTTATCTATTTTTTTGGTGAAGTAAAGTGCCTTAAACCTTTAAAATTCCACAAGCAGAAATTGTATACCTAGGTGCTCAAAACACCAACTTTTTTCTTGACTTCAAGACAAATTTAGGTATCTGTTGGCAGAACTTCCCTCTCCTACAGTTTATATTCTCCTTATACAAATATTAGTCACTCACTTTAATTACATTAAATTAATTCCTAAATGAGAAAGAAAAACTTGAAAGGAACATGGATATACAGGTTATTTGGGCCAAATATCTAGAAGTGTGTGAAAGTGCTGAGCTGAATTGATTATGGAGATGAGTCCTGTCATCAAATATGCTGGACAGTGCTTTAGATTACATGCATGTTATTAGGTAACTATCAGAAATCCTATATAACAAATAGGGTTTTGAATATAAGAATTAATGAATTCTTGAATTAATGAATATAAGAATTAATGAATTATATTAATATAAGAATTAATATAATTACATTATATGTAATGTAAAATAAATTTATGAAGGAAATATGAAGGAATTTATGAAGGAAATAAAATGAATTTATGACTCATAAACATATTGAAAACAAAAATATCCCAAAGAATACCAGGTCAATCAGTCCCATAAAGTCTAACTATTCATTCCATCTCTTACATTCATATGAATACAAACTATTCCATATGAATAAATTTGAAAAGTGTAAGAATGTTTAGCAAATTTAAAAATGACTTTTTGAGAAACACGGGGTCAAAGTTAAATTATTTTTATAAGAGAGTTTACTACATTAAAAAAAAAACCTCCAACGCACACGGACACAAAAGTACAAGACAAAGAAAAAAAGGTGGTCCTCCCTGGTGGTGCCAGGGGTTAAGATGCAACCACTAAAGCTATCCACAGCCACTGCAGCATGAGTTCGATCCCCAGTCAGAGAGCTACCCACATGGTGCAGCAGACCTCTCCTGACTCGCCTGCTGCTCCCCTCAGCAGTATATTTCAGTCACTCTGCCTGTTCTGTTCCCCACTCTATCTCTGGTGAATCCTCTCACCCTCACACCTCTGGCCTGTATCCCAGTTCTTGTATGCATAAATAATAAATAAATCTTTTTTTTAAAGAAAAAAGGTAATAAACCTATTTAACCATTAAATTTCATAAGAACAATCTAATGACTTCATGCAGAAATAGAAAAGATGTCTAGAACTTGGGGGGGGGGGAAATGTGTTATATACATTTCCTCTCCCAAGAGTCTAGTGATTAAAAGGAAGTCAGTATGTCTGTATTGGTAGGATAAATAAATGAGACAAAGATGAAGTAATCAACAGGATTGAATAATATTAACAGCCATCAGAAATCAATATATAATTGTTTTGTGCTCTGAGAAAATCTTACATATACAAATGTGTACTTGTGCACAAGTGTTTGTTTATATGTGTATAATAGATTTGAAAAAGGCTAGCAGAGTATGCTACTGAACTAACAGGATCAGATTTGAACATTAGCAGAAAACAAAAAGATAGAATATGATTATAAAGTGGAGGCAGGGCCTCTCTGGTGGCACAAGGGGTTAAGTCATA